TATATATTTATTTTGTTACTCCTATAGTTACTATTTATGGTGATGCTCCTAGTCTTATCGATATCACATGATTACCACAAAGGCAGTCTCAGTTTCGTTTCTTTAATGCATTACTAATTTGTAATTTCTTATTCTACTTATACTAATTTTTTACAATTAATTTGCGTATCTTATCGATCAAACAGCCTTTTTTTGCTAAAGGATTTTATGTGATTGCTTTTTCTATTGAATCATATAATAATTGCAATCAACAGTCTGAATGAATAATCACTTCAGTAGCAATTGGTTCTTGCATAGTTTTGACTTTAGCATCCGTAGTATCCGAGGCAGTCAGTGGAAATTATATCCGGCCGGTCGAATTGATATCGGCTTCCGGGGCGAGAGATCCGGATCCAACAGGCAGAAACTGGATTTCCGTCGTAGTCGTAAGTCGGCCGACAAAACGCGGAAAACTTTTCTCACCCTCCGTTTCCCGTAAGAGTAACGACACGGGTTATACGCGAGGAGGAATCGCGACTCGTTTCTGCGAATAAAAGTAACACGGACATAGAGAGAGAGAGAGAGAGAAGCGCACGTACCGTTGCGAAAGGCCTCGCGATTCTTCTTCCTACCTCTTGCTCTCCCGCGTCTATTGAATTAAACCCCCTTGATACGTGTACCCGGTCTTTGGTCCGGTTCACACGGCCAACGTGCCGCGACTTCCTGTCTGCCATCGGGAAAGTAGCCGTACTTTCGAGTAATTTAATGATTATACCTTGCGTCTGGCTTTGTTCGCGTTTCACAGCGAGTCGCTGGCGAGACCGTCTTCCGTACTTGATTATTCAATTATGTCATTAAGAATCTCGCGAGCAATCGACATTCCCACTGTCACAAGAATTTATATTAACACCTGCACGCTTTATGTATGATATAAGTTATACTCGTTCCTTAATATCGAACGAGGTGATTAAACGTTGGGTTGAACATTTTCCGGTATGGAGTAATTAATTTTCTCGCAACGTTTCTACCCGTCAAAGATGATTAAAACCATCGGCCTTGTTATTACAACGATTTCACGGCTCGGTCGGGGTTATTTGGCAAGCAGCTGGATTACGGTCACGGATATAGGATAATAAGGATTCGAGGTGGTAAAGACGAGAACTTGGACGTACGTGACAGGAATCGTGGCTGGCAGAAAACTGGAATTACTTTGACAAACTCCTTTTCTCGCTACTCTTGCCTTGTTCCCAGTTCTCTCTTTCTCATTAACAATGAGTTGCGAGAGCTTTACTATTTGTCTCGTATTTTTATACATTACATCCAATCTTCATATTTTATGCACTTTTCTTTATAAACGTATGAGATTCAGTCTAGTTATTATTGCTTTTGGCAATCTTATAAAATGTTATAAAGAGAGGGAAATGTATATTTTA